TATACTGAATAGTTTAAAAAGTATTTGACAGTCTTTCCAGCTAAATGGCCTTTAGAATCTATTGCCTTAGAATTTTTTGCAAAAATCAATATTTTCTATAATTCAACTACGACGAAGGCAAAAATGCTGCCCAACCGCATAGAAAAATTGGCGCTATTTACGACCAAGATGCATTATTGAAAAAATAGGTACCGAATTGTTCTCCTTTTCGTTCAGATTTATCTCTCAGATTTTGCACAGATATTTTTCGCGGTGGCCGATCAACTGTGCAAAAGGCTGATGAAAGTATTGCGACACATGAGTAGAGGAACTGATTTCGGTGTATCTGCGAAGTTCTACGGAAACACAATGATCTAAAGCGGCTGGTTCGGGGAGATGAAAAATGGACCATGTACAACAATACTGTGTAAATCAGATAATGCTCAAAGGGCGAAGAATCTGTGACAGAGCCCGCGCGGACGATGCAAAGAAAATGTTTGGTGGGCATTGGGAGGAATCGTGCGTTACGAGCCGCTGCTAATAGACGAAACGATTAATTTAGGCTTTTCCTATGAACAACTGATAACATTATAATAAGCCATTGGAAAATCTACCCGAACAGAAATTGTGGCGATGTTAGGCCACGTACATCTTTAACTAATGGCAAAAATCGACAGAACTTTTATTTACCGAAAATTGTTATTTAAAATTTTCAATGCACTCATCGAAATATCATCTACTTCGATTTTTAACCCGTTAGTTTGTAGTTTAAATGGAAGGATGCAGAAATTTTCTCATAATTTTTTTACCCAAAAAAACTACCGAAGCTCCACTGTGCGAAATTTTGGTTCAGCAGAAAATTGCAAGACCACTGATAGTATGCAGAATCAACTGTGTATGGAAAAAATATAATTTTTTTTTTATTCATTTTGAGCTTTCAAATTCAGCCATACTGGATTGAATTTGCCTTAGGCACAATGCGTAGAAATGGGCAAAACTTTTAGATGTTTTTTTTGCTGTGCGGATCTGTCCAAATGATACATTTTGATGCATGTTTTGTATCTAATTGCATAAAACCAACAAATATATGTTAGGTGGCAGTCACACGCTTGTAGTTCGTAAATATAAAAATATATGGTGTATAGCGCTGCATTGTGTCGAAAGTTGGTCTGAGTAATTGGAAAAAACGATGGATGTTACAGTAGAATAACTTATTGGAGTTCATGCCATAATGATTTAATAATTCCCCGACCTGAAACGACCAAACCACCTAGACACTACCCACTAAGGGTACCAAAGTAGTACGCATACGTACTGCACGCGATCCATCCATCGGTTGCTTGTTCGTCCACTTAAAGCTTGCTACGTTGACTACTTTAGTACTCATTTTGCGATGCAGCTGTTTGGTTCGATAGAAACATTGGTAGGACATTCTATTTTCGTCGTGACAATTATAATTTCGATGTTATTATTTCAATAACAAGGTCGGATAAACCGAATAGGTCAACTTTTAGGTGCCCTATTATTCTCCAATGTCGTGGAGTTGGCAAGCTCAAACGGGTAAAACATTAAGGCCCAGTTTGAAAATCTGTATATTTCATTGGGTATAGTCCTATCTAGGTCTTGCTATTAATGAATAGTTATTTAATTTCTTCCTGAACATTGACTAGAAGAAACAGACTAGCTATTTCAGATAATAAATTACAACGGTCGACCCGTTTAATGTTGAACATGACGGTGTCGTACCTAGAATACTGTGAAAATTAAGAATATTTATGTAATTATAATAGCAATAATTACAATCGTAGTCTGGCCACAGAACACACGAAGGACATTGTATAGGTCCGTCAGAAGGTACCTTTATTTTTCAGTTCACCTCCAGCATTGGTAAGGTTCGGAGAGATTAGCTTTGCTAATGAAAATAATTTTTTTTTGACTACGTAACCCTTCTTTGCCTTTATAACAACAAGTAAACGCTCTTGGTAATGAAGCCGATGCATTGATAGCTGAACCTTCAAACTTCTGCGTCTTATTTTGAATCGCTTGTTTCCCAGGCCCTGCTACATGGGACTTAACCGTATAATCCAACAGACTTACGTCTGTAAAAGCCAAGCATTAGAGGGTTTCCGTTGAAAATCTGCCAGAATTTCGCGATTCACCAAAGCCTCATAGGGTCAATTGTTGTCATATAGAAAGGCCACCTTGCCTATCCTGGGCCTTTATATTGTCAATTTCTTGACCCAGTTGAACAAATTGAATCGAGGTGAACTTGTCATCCCACTGCGTGTTCGAAGCTGTTACAGCAGAGCACTTATCGAATCCAGTAAATTATCTATGATAATGCTTTGCCTTAACTGTTAACCACCGCGTTAAAAGGTGTTATAGAAGACTTTTATATAAGACTGTTATAGAAGAGAAAATGAATTCTCTTCTTTCTCTTCTTTCTAAATGCAGATATTGGGTACACATTTGTTTTCATTAAAAATGCAATAAACGAGCAAGCAATGATAGGAGCACGGCCAAGCGATCGGCAATAGTACCTTCGCTGAATTCAAGAAGAACCAACTTCACTTGATTATCCTCAATCTGTTTCCCAGTACTATATAAGGGCGATTAAAAACTGTAATACAACTACCTCTTCCCTACGCAGAGGCTTCAGCTGAAATTCAGCTGATATTTTACACTCGCAACAGAAGAGTCATCGTCGACGTTTTCATAAACGGAGCCTAGATTGTGCCTTAAATGAAGAACCCTAGAAGCCAATTGCGATAGGCCTTGTCAGAAAAGTCCAAGCGAGGAGCGTGCAAAGTTTCAAACAAACCTACGGTGTGCAAAAACCAGTCTATCTAATAGAATTATAAGCTACGTACAGTGTAATTAATCTTTTCTTTGAAGGTTGCGAATGTCTGATTTATTAGGTGTTACGTTTCGAGTGTCGCAATAACCTAGCATTGTTGATGGCTTAACCTTGTTATATGCGGTTTGGTAAAACCATTGTTTAGTGCCAGATGGCCTATACAGTACGTTTAGAATAGGTGTTTGTTAATGTATGATTATCTGTGTGACTGTGTGCGTGTGTGTGTGACACGGGAACAGAGCTTTGTGAAGTTTCTAGTACCTTCTATGTCGGCATTTAAACGAAGCTTCCTCCCTTCCCTCCTTTAGCATTTAGTAGTCTCACTTGTAATAGGGGGCTGAAGAAACTGGATAGAGTCGAGCCTTTGGGGATCTGCATCGTGGACACGTGACGGTATAACATTCGATGCACCGATTAAACGCAAGCTAGACGATAAACCCTCGCCGAGTAGGCCAGCCTCACGAGGAGATGTTTCTTAACAAAGAGTGGCATGCGCAGCACGAGATGCGTGCGAAATCATTGAAATCCGCTCCGGGTCCGCGTGGCTGCGACCATTTCGAATTTCCCGCCGGGCCCCTGCCTTCCCTTCGCTCTACGGGCCCCATGCGGTTTGCGACAGATCTATGGTAAATCCAGCGGCGGTAGCGGCGGCGCCGGAGGTAGTAGCAGCGCGGGAAAGCAGTAGAGGCAGCGGCGGCGGCGCCGCGGCAGCAGCAGCAGCAGCTCTCTTCAATACGGCAACGGCGCCTCCATTACGAAGTAAGCCCCTTCCCCACTCAGGGACCTACGGTATATGTTAGCCTGCCTATTCAAGTCTATCGAAGGATCAACCGCTTACTTCTTTATTCAGCAATGGAATCTCGTTAGACCACAATAAATGTAGAATTAACTTATCGTTGTCCGCTCGTGTGCTCAGCTGTTTTTCTATTCGTCCATCTGACCCTGCATATATATATACTCTACATATAAAATTCGTTTTTCCGGTTCAAGGCGCAGCTAGCAGTTTACGCTAAAATAACATGTGCATTGACAGAAGTAACATCGCTATTCCTTGTCGGGTGTCTTTCAACGTTGATGTGGGGTTAGCAAGCAATGGTAGTGATCGTTGTCGTGGTTCGGGGGTGAGGGGTAGTAACTGGCTCTCTGCTGGCTGCCGTGTGCCATAGTCCAGCTGTTGGATCTGCCCTCTCCCTCATACAACTCGCTTCCCGTCGTAATGGTGAGCCTCGTTGCGTGTTACCCTCTCTCATTTGGCCCAACTTCCCCGACTCGTGGCCCCTTTCCCCTTTAGCAGACCCCCAATGCCTTTACAGCAGCAGTGTATATGTAATACCAAGGGGCGTCAAAACAGACGCGTCTCTTCAACGGAGTGGTGCATGCGGAGCAGCGCCCTTCAGTGAGCCCCTAGCCGAACAGCGGCCGCAAAAATGGACGGATACAGCAGCCACAATTTGGATAACCTATTCAAGCGCAGTTGCACGTCATCGTCACAAAAACCGCTAAAGAAGGAGACGACAAAGCAATATCAGCGTGTAGTTTATCCGCACGTTTAACGTTAATTCATCCTCGGCTTTCCTTCTGATGAACGTGAACGTCGTCCTCATATAAAAACAAAACGTGTTTTGTAGGCACGTTGACAGCTGTCTGTCTGTTTTTGCCTCCGTTTGTTCACCACAACAAAGTTGACAACGATTCTCCCATTTCACAAACCCTAGCGCCTTTTGTCACTAAGTATTAGATCATTTTATAGCCTCCATTTTGATCTTTGTGTATGATTTATAGATTGATTCATCGATCGACCTAAATTCGGGAGCTAACCAGTCGGTCACTCGATCACTTGCGATATCACTTCGTTGTCCTTTTTCGGGATTTACCCTTTGTTTGGGCTAGGTGCTTTTGAAGCGTGTCTAGATTTTGTCGATCCGGCGTTGGGCAACAAAGGAGATAAGAATCAAGGACGCACCGTCGGGTGGTCGTTCTTTCAGTGTCAGCAATGAACAGTAACCTGGTCTCTCTAGAATAGTGTAGCCAAGCTGTGCCTAGCATCATCTAGTGACTGGTAGATCGCCATCGCGTTTCGACCACATCGCAGGCAAACTTCAGATTGCATCGGTGCGTGCTGGACCGTGAAGTGGGCCACCAGGCAGGCAGGCCTACATTTGCTATTCGTCTGTCCACTCGAGAGGAAAACGTAGGCAAGGCAGCTCACACTAGCTGGCATCGAAGTTCTCAGTTTCTGAAGTAAAATATCAATATTTCAGTACTGCTACTGAAGTCGTTGTTGTTTGACGTCGAGATCTTTGATAGTGTTTAGTTTTTGTTCAGGGTGGCAACTTTGTCAGTGGTGCCAATAAGGCCCTAGACGCTGTAAACATAAGTACAAGAAGTGAAAGTTTCAGTGTAGTCAATGCAATTTGTCACCTTTAAATCACCGAAGAAGTGCAATCTGCTGTCGAATATATGCGTAAGTCAGCAGAAGTCGGCTGGTCATAACGGAAGTTCACTTAAATAGACGCGGCGGATGCACTGTGCTAATAGGAATCATAGCGAGCTAAATCCAAATCGTGTTAGAGGGATCGTTTGCCCTTACTATATTTCTATGAATTTGTGAATCCGTGCTACGAGAAAGATATAAGGCGGTGACCAGTGGGAAGGGTACGGTGTCGTAAAAGTACCTACGAGTGTAGTAAAGTGTAACGTCAACGGGGGAAGAGTATTGCTGAATGTGTCGACGAGTGTTTAGCTTACTACTGTATAGTTTCAGTGCTTCGCCTATTTTTCATATTCTAAAAACGACATACGCAACTATAAGGATTACGGTGTTTTGCGGGTCTACTGGCACAACCGACAAGTATTGCTGCTCCTAGCTTCGAAAATTGTTTGAGGAAAACGCTTTATTGACGTGAACCGCTAAACCGGTGCTAGCGAAATTTTTCGCTAGTCTTTTCTTTCCTCTCGTGGTTGAAAACTTCTGGAGCCGCCCGTCGAGCCTTGAAAACTTCCCTGACCGCTTGCAGTGTTGCTCACTCTCGTTCGTGGGTTGCCTTCTTTCGTAAAAGCCCTCTACTTAAGTTAATCACGAGCCAGCCTAACTGTAATACAGCACCAACAACAGTAACTACCCAAAACTTTAATAGGAACATCACAGATACTACAAGGAACTACAAGCGCCGCCCAAACTAACGAAGCAAGCCTAAGGAAATTGATAACCGATTCTACGATACAGGATCATATATCGTCGACGCGAATAACCTCCACCCGGCGGCGTCCAACAAGACGACGAAGCCCCCGTTTGAAGAAAACCAAAAAGCATCCAAGACTCAAGCCATTAAAGGGATCCCGGCTAATCGATAGTTAAGTGACAACGACACAGTTCGAGATAATTTGTCGAAGTTTGCCGAGTAACTCCAATTCCTACCGAATTCAGGTGTCGAAAGCGGAAGATAGAAGCAAAAGTAGGCGCCATACAGAACACGTTCTGTGTGAAAGCCGGTCTATGAAAAGCGAACTTATATACACAACTACATACAGATATTTCTATATCGACATATACTCCTATAACAATTAAATACTATTCGCTCGTCTCATGACGGGCATCTGCTATTACTCGTGCAGCGTGGAATAATTATATACCCGCATATGTATGTGGCTAGATGGGAAAGCGAAGAAGTAACAGCCCGCTAGCTTCAACATAAGAAGCAACTCTCCCAGCCTGCATTACCGAGATAAACCACAGGATAGTGAAGTTTTAAAAGTATTGCTAGTAATCTAAAACTAAAAAACCTAGTTGTCATAAAAATATAGGCGTGAAAACAGATAATGCACGCGCTCATGCGTGCAATCATACCGAACGTGTAACGTTAAACAATATTGTTAAATAAGAAGCCAAACAGAAAGAGTCACTCTAACAGGAGGGAAGCCCTTTCGAAGCTGATCTACTACTGGATACACCGAATGCGGGGTACGGATACTAACTAGTAATTGAAAAACCTCAACGGTCAACATCGACCGGGCTACACGTTGTCAAGAGGCTATCGTCGATATTAGAACTAGAAACGAGTTATTCTATAACTATATAGCCCCATATATTAAACACACAGATGCATACAGGCACGTACACATAAGTAAGCCAGCGAGTGGAGAAACAGTGAAAACAGCAAGTCAACAAGTGTTTATCCAGGAAAGGTGCGGGACATGTTCTAATCGGGACATAACAGTAGCACAGGCATTTGTTCAACTAACGATCGTAAATAGCCTAAAGCATCGAGGAACATCCAGAGGTTACAGTAAAACACGCGAAGTTTAGCAAGCCTAGATCAGCTGAACAAAACAACAGGAACAATGGCCGTAGTTAACGACTGCAATAAATAAGCAACCTTTGCTACGAGATTATTTCAAGATTTCCAAGATCTTGACTCTCTATCGCTGTTAACGCATTCAAATACGGAGGCGGAGTGGGGAAGCGTACATCGAACGAGCGGGAAGCTGTGACTCATCTTTTAATAAAAGCTGTTGTTCTTCTTTAAGTAGCACTACAGTAGCAGCAGGAGCAGCTGTGATACCGTTCAGAGATAGCTCCCACTCTACGATAGAACACGCTTGAAATATTTTGCCACGTCCTCCTCCATCACAGCACCGGCAAAGGCGCTGTGGTATATTCTATATAATTTATTGCAATTACTCGCCCATTAGTCTACAATTAAAAGAAACACTTCTAAAGTGCAGTCACCTTACACACCGTTCATACGAAACAACGTCATCAATATTCATAACACTGTTGAGTACCTTTTTCCGTACCAACGGTGGGGCAAGTTACCAGAGAGGTCTGTCCAGTGTACGCCGGAAAAGCAAGCTCAAGCCTACGAAGAAAACAGCTGAAACAGAAGCAGACCGCACTAGCGGGCTGTAATAACCGGAAAATAAGGTTGCGGTGGAACAAAAGTTCTTACATGTTTTCATGCACATCGATATTGTTACCTCGTGTTGCGCATCGGCCGGATACTCTGTCCAGAAAACTTGCCAGCAAGCAATTAGGCGAAGAGCGAGACCTGAGTGAAGCTATAAACTGAGAACAAAAACATCAACAACAAAAAGCCTTTGCTCAGTACTTTACTTATTCATTACACAGAGAAACCGAATATAAAGCAAGTTTGAAAAGAGCAGCATCATTATCGTTATCGATACTGTAGTCGCAAAAAGCGCTGCCAAGGAAGGGGGCAAAAACCGTGACTCTGTCCTACAGAAAAACTGATCGAAGCAACAACAGCGACAGACAACAGTCGAGAAGATGTTTGGTGGAATAGGGAAGAAGGAGCCGGAACCGGAGCCCGAGGATGAGGCTACTCAGCTTCGAAACATGAACCCCGATGAAATGACGGGGGAGCAACTTCAACAGCGAATCGCTAATGGGGCACAAGATGTAAGTGCATTGTAGAATAGTTTGCTATAAAGTCCTTTGAATCATCAGTTCGAAAGCTTGAACGATCAGTTACGAAAGCATTTTGAGGGAAATCTAACAAAATAAATAGCAATGATCCCGGGCAGATTTTAGCCAGATATGCACTAAAAAAATAGCCAAATATGCATAGATGTATATTACTTAGCCATTTATCGATCGTACTTTTCTATAGAGACTTATCTGCCGTTGGAAACTAGAATACCGTTTTTTTTTTACTATTAAAAAATATTGTAAGTTTAATTCGTACCTTTTGCCAGCTATATGGAAGGCCCGAAAATTTTCGATATTGAACACAAGTAAAATTGAAATGATTGCAAGTTTTTACTATTTCCTGAAGAAAAAGCAGGTACCACTTAGACATTTTTGTCCACTTCAGTGCTTCATAGTCTATGGAAACGAGAGCACACTTCATAAACGCCCGTCTCAAAAGGTTTTTAGGATCGTCGTGGCATTGAACACACATCGTACGACGCTTTACCTTTATCTCACTCTGAAAATGAGCACGCGACGCCCAAATGTCGCAACAGTCGGCATCGATTTATCGGGATTTTAGTAGGCTATTTAGTGAAGTGACAAGAAAAGATGTTTCTTGAACCCATACGCAGTAATAATGCGGATGAACCTTCTAGGCCGGTGCGGACCATTGCGCTGCTTAACTTTGTTTAGCTTCATGTTTCTATGGATCTTTTGCCTAAGCTTCAGCTCCCTACAAAATGCAACAAAAAGTTCGTACTCTGTGATAGGCATTTGTGAGGTAATTACAACTCTGGCCTGTTACAGTCGTGTGTTGTTAGCTGTTATTAACCTCATAAGAAAACAAAAGGGCGTCCCACGTGTTACGCATATATATTGTACGTCCAGTGATGTACTATGTTTGAGTTTACATAGTATTCGTTCGGCCTGGAGTTGCTGTATTAAGCAGTATATATGGATGTATATGTGTGTGTGTTTCTGCGTCCTGTCACTTCATCAATGTTGTTTGTCATCTGCCGAGATCGTCTGGCAAGAACGATGAACTCAAGCGTCAGGCTCTTTCCGAATGTTCCTATTACTCGGACAATTCTATATCCGGCTCCAATAGCACGTGTATAGCTGTTATGATGCCTTTACGGAGCGGATACAGAAGATGCTTTTTAATAAGCGAAATATACTTGGTTAGAAGTTAAGATACGGTCAGGATACACTTCGCCACTTAATGTTTTTCGTAAATAGAAAATGATCTAATTCTGTAGGCAGATGAATGAGGACATGTGAAAGCATCAGACTGTGATATCAATCTGTAAACAATTTAGTAAATATATCCTGCTTTTGATGAAAACTTTATAGCTACGAAATATATAGGGGATCGATTGGGTTAGGGTCAACTTTTGATATTCTTCTTTATAAAAGTGAAAGGAACAGACAAAAGAGACATTGATCATTAGGCATTGTACATTTACAGAACAAAGATCAATTTTAATTTTTGGACAAAAATTTTTCAATAAACTGCAAGAAGAAGTACATTCCAATATAACTTTATATATGTATATATATATATATATATATATATATATATATATATATATATATATATATATATAAAGCGAGAGAGAAAGAAAGAAAGAGATATTTTCATAGGACATTGGCATCAGTAAAGCACGCAAACGTATCAGAAACTACCAACGCCAGTCTAAAAACAGGTTCGAATGGATGCCTCTTCTATCACCTACCTCTGCCTGATCAGCCGCAAAAGAACAACGTTACCACTCGTGATTCCGCGACTGCAGTAAAAATATGTCTACCGGTTTTAGAGTCCAACAAGCTATTTAGTAATAACTGAGCACAACAACCTGAACTGCAACAATAGCATCGACTATTTCAGTAGAAGAAAAATATTGCCCAATCATCGCGTTCAACTGAGTTCCATAAACTTTTCGAATACTATTCAAAGCATCGTCCGCTTCGGCACTTCGGCGGTATGCTGTCCTCGTTTCTATCTCGCCTGTTGACCTTAGGGACACGTTGAGATCGAGGTTCGAACCCGCGCATAGACAGACTCGTTCCGTGTTGGACGCCAGTCGTCGAATAACGTAACGCCTGACGACGACATCGGACGTAAAATTCGAAACATAAAGGGCTAGAGCATCATATCTGGGTAGGCAAATATCAGCCTCGCAAGATAACACACGCAGCTACAAAAACAATCCATAAGCAGTATAGTGCAAGTACATTATCATTCACAACTTATATTAGCATCAACCCACCGCGTGTGTTCATATCTAAGACGATGCTAAATTTGAGGAGCCGATTTGAAAAACGTACTCTAAGAAAGCAATGTTGTGGGAAAGAAAAAAAAAAAACAAAAAAAAAAGGCTATAAAATAATGCATTTTATAAATTGGATGAGCAGGAAAAAGGCATGCGTACTCTTCTGAGAGTAGCTAGACTCATTTTGAAATAAAACCAAAGGTTACCATCCGATATTGTTGGATAACTGCAAAGGATCGGATTTTCAAAGGTATCTGATAGAACGCTTCCCTAAAGATGGACTGAGGCTGGATATTGTTACAAAGGTTTTTCTTTGTAGTCAAGTCTTAACAAGTCATAAATGATTTTATTGTCACGGCGAAAGATTCTTGATTGATCTGGTAACTAGATTTCAACATTTTATAATACATAACGATTGTTTAATACAATAAAATCTATCTCTAATAGTAATACAATTGATTTGTTTGGTGACCTTAATTTCGGTTATAATGGGGCAATAACATTTTGGATTTTGACAAACGTTTAGCATAAAGTGACCTTATGCTCGCAACATATTTGCTCTGGAGCTCTAATACAACCCTTTGCTTGCAGTTAAAAGATGCTTAATTAGACTTAGAATGGCACGTTAGACGGTAACGATTTACGATAACGTTCAATATTATATGCAAAAAGCTTTACATAATAAAAACAAAAAATTAGAGCGAAATATTGTAGTTCTATGCCGTAGTAACTGTGAGTGACAGATCCAATAAATGCCAGTTAAGCGTAGAGCTGTAGATTAATGTATGGATTTTTGAAGCACTATCCACGTACGTGTACCATCCTTCCTTGGATGCCGCGCTGTCAGCTTCCCCAATGTCTATGCGTATGTCATGTGTTGAAGTATAGGTTTTCATAAGACCCCTACCCCCTCCCTTCCCTTCCCGAGGCCCGGGCATAGACAGACGTCGCAGCCGTCTGATGGAATTACGCTTAACGACGATATCGAACGTAAAACTCGAAATATAAAGGCCTTGATAGATTGACAAGATTTGGAGCCTTAGTAGTTTGCCTATCGTTGATGTGTGGCCGATGGTGAAATACATATATACACAGTTTATATATATAACATATTGTTGGCAACGCATGAGCGAGTACCTACACTGTAGAGAGCTATTTTAAGCTCAAAACCAACAAAGTTGGGGTGTCAAGCAAGAGGAGTGACAAAAACCGTATCTGTACCCTGCTTCCTAAGGTTTTACCCTTTTCAATGTATTGCGCTATTTACTTACGTCAGCTTGTGTTTGCTAAAAAAATAATACTTCGCCTAAATAGTATGTTTCAGGAAATGAATGCGGTTCAACATGTAACCGTGCTATCAAGGTAGCAACTGCTAGGTAGTTGAAGAGTTTTTGTTTACTGCAACGAAAACTACGCGAGCGTACTGTATTCCGGCAATACTAGTTATCTATTTAAGTTCCAATCTGTGAAATCGTTTTGTCTCCTCCACCGAATACGTTTCATTCTGCGTGGCCTCATTCCACATCGGCCTCTCTCTTGTAACTATTCGAGCTGTATCTTGTTTGCTAGCTCTCTCATCTTACACGGAACTAGGCCTTGAAATGTTTGCGCTATAAGAGCCTTATTGGACTATTTATCAATGTTGGTGGTTACCTCGTTAGGCGCTTGCCTGGTCCGGTGGATGACCTACTAGTGCAGACGTTCTCCGGCTGTCTTGTCTGACTATTTCCTACAGTCAACTAGAGCGTCCTTCTCATGGTGTGAGCCGGATTGAAAATAAGGAAAGGCTAATGACGGGCTGGGCGGTAAAAAGTTGCGAAGAAGCCCAAAGGCGATGAGGACAAAATGGTTTCCGATTTTGTCCGTAGACAATAACAGAGACGCGAACAGGGGTCATGTACACAAGTTTCGTATTCCGAGTCGTCAACAATCTACACCGAAATATAACAGACAAATGTGAACGAACAGCGATAACGATGCTCTTATTGTAGTGCGACACTATTTACAGAGCAAGCGAACTATAGAAGGAAACGGAGGCGGAAGGGCATATTAGCTTTCCTCGTTCGTCTCGTTGATCCGCAAGTTGCGGGAAGTCCTCTTTCAAAATCATCTCATTAGGTGGCGGTCCCTTAACGAGACGGGAGCTATGAGCGCCATCATTTAATTCTAGCGATGGAGTTCTGAAGTACAGGTAAATCCGAAAATAGTACAACGAAGTCATTTAGAAAGTTACAGTTGGTCCATTATTAGGGGTGATGTTGTGGGAGCTAACTGTGGTAGCACTTATAAGCAATGCAAGAAATAACTTCAACGCGAAGTCTATTCACTTTTAACGATTACTCAAAATAGAAATTACGCAAACAAATTAGTCCGCGAGATTATGTGTACTTCACTGAGCTATGAAACTGCCGTACTTCTAATCGTTTGCCAACGTTTTGTAATCATAGTCATCGTCGAAAAATTCAAACAGAGCTGGTCCTGGCGTATACTGTTGAGAATATCTATAGGCGGACTCATTAAGATGCACGTAGTTGTAAGCATGTTGCGTCGTAGCGCGGCACGAACTTTCGTAGATCCAACATTAATCCGTCACGCTGTCATGCGTAAATTGCCAACGTGACTGAAGCTGTCGTCGTCGCCATGGTTCCCGTAGTCATTGTTACTGTTATCGTCGTTGTCTAGTGATGATGACTCATTGTAACTAGTACAACTATA